AAAATTCCTTTAAATAAAACAGTACTCAGAAGAAACATTATGTAGTTACTATGCCCAAGGTATTATATGCAATGCTCTGTACCCATTGTCCTACTTAATACTAAAAATAATTATATGAGATTGTTATTACTCTAATACCATTTTACAAAATATACAAGGTTGTTGTGTTTGGGTTAAACAAACTTGGACTCAGTCCTGGTTGCATTACATTTTCAGTTGAGTGACATTATTCAAGTTACTTAACCTCTCTAAATTAAACTTTCCTTATATGTAAAAGAATAATACAGTTATGTATTGCTTAACTGTAGGGATCTACTCTGAGATATGTGACATTAGATGATTTTACCATTTTGTGAAAAATCATAGAGTGTACTTATATAAACCTAGGTGGTATAGGTCAATACTTGACATGTCCTCTTGATACAATCAAGGGATATGGTAAGTACAAGACAAATGAGACTACTACTGCCATAACATGTCATACTGTTTTACAGTAAACACTTTTATGAGCTTGTTTTAAAATAATGATTAAAAGTATAGCATATTAACTAAATAGCATTATTATCAAGTATTTATTACATATGATCTTATATAGTTATAATTCTATTTGGCCACCAGGAAGTAGGTTTGTTTACATCAACATCACCACAAATGTGTATAATGTGTTGTACTTTGATGTCACTAAGTAAAAGAAAATTTTTACCTACACTATAATATTAGGGAACCACCATTGTAATGTGGTTCACCATTTATCAATATGTCATTATATGTGGATGTATAAAAATAGCATCCACCTCATGATGATTTTATGAGACAGTACATGAAAATAACTTAGCATTTTGCATAGTACATGATAAGCTTGTTATAATCACTGTTGATCCACATATTGTCAAATCCAGGAGTTCTGGCTCCAACTAATGCAATATATCAATATTTATTCAGGTTATACTCCCTCGACCTTAAAATAGTCTCTTCATTTGACCTGTGGGATATCATTTACTATTGGTTCTCTTACCTCACTGACTAGCTTTTCTTTCAGTCTTCTCTGTGACATTCTCCTAATTTTCTTAACCTTAAAAAGCTGGAGTATCCAAAGGGATCCTGCCTTGAACTTCTCTGATTATGGATGATCTCATGCAGTCCCATAGTTTTAAATGCTATATATAGGATATGACTATAAAATTTATAAGCCAGTCAAGGCCTCCTTTGAACTCAATAGATTCATAGGTCTATCTGCCTATACAACATTTTTACTCAGATGTTTAGTAAGAGAAATCAAGTTTAACACATCTAAGAATACATTTCATTAGTTTTCCTTCAAACCTACTTCTCTCACACTTTTTTTCCTATTTCAGTCAATGTCAACTCCATTCTTCCAGTTTCTCAAGATAAATAAGCCTCTCTCACATAATATATTCAATCCATTTGGGAAACTCTGTCCATTCTATCTCTAGAATCTAATTCCTTTCACCACCTCCATTGCTATCACCCTATTTAAAGACCTCAGCATTTTTCCTGGAGCACTGCATTTGCTTCCTGACTGATCTCCTTCCCTGTACCCTTTTTCCCCATGGTCTCTGAAAGCTGAAAGTGATCTTGTTAAAAACATAAAGACTGTGTCACTCCTTTACTTAAAATTGTCCTCTAGTTTTTCATCTCATTTAAAATGAAAGGTAAAAACCTTACCATGGCTCTTTGTGACCCAGCCTGATCATGTCTCCTTTCAATCAGGGTCCCCTACCCACACACATACATCTTTTCTACTAGTCTACCTGTCTTGGTTCTTCAGACATGTTTTGGGTCCATTATGTTTGCTGTCAGCTCATCCTGGAAAATATTTTTGCTGATATAGTCAAGGCACACATCCTGAGTTTTTGGCTCATGTAGCTTTTCAGAAGACTTTCACTAGCCAACCTATAAAATGTCAAATCACCCAGATATTCCATGTTTCTCCCTGCTTTATTTTTCTGCATAGCACTCACCACCATGATATATGCTTTATATAAGTAATTGTCTGTCTCACCCAACTTGAATGTTATATCCATGTCAGTAGAGATTTTTATCTGTATTGTTCATTACTATATTCACAGTCCCCAAAATTAATTTTCTAAATGACTATTTTTTTTTTCATTTTAATATTCCTCAGGTGCTACACAATTTATACCTGACCCCAGACTTATGGATCATGGGCAGTCTCATCCGGAAGATGTAGATATGTACAGCACTAGAAGCTGAAATAGACTACATAAAGAGACTGCATAGAGAACTACAAGATGTGTGAAGTTGCAAATAATGATGAAAAAAAAATCATATAATGGGTAACCAATGTGTAGAGTATAACTTTAATTCAGTTTTTCCTTGATATCTTAAAATGTACAGTTTGACCAATCATATAAATGATTAAAACTCAAAATCTGAATGAAATTAAAACAATATTAAATGACTGAATGAAACAACCCAGAAGTATGAGGATGCATTTGATGACTTGTAAGGGCTTTTATTAGAAAGCAAACCACAGTGAAGGTATGATTACCAATGAGACTAAAATCTGAAAATATGTGCATATATAATGTCAGTTAAATTAAAATGGTGTGTAGAAGGATGTGCTCTTCCTCTCTTTTTCATTTCTGAGACATGGAATAAAATATCCATATTTTATGGCACATTTGTTTGGCTTTTTCTTTTTGTTTTATTAAGGCTAAATCCCTTTAAATATCTGAAAACATCTCTGTTTAAAAGGACCATGTCCTTCATGGGCCCCCTAATGCTACTTAGCAGTTCTTCCACTGGCCCCTATGCAGTTTACTTCTCTGTTCTTGAGAAGTATTAAAAACATTTTATTCTTCTCAAGCCTCTTATACCTATTAAAGTTGACTGCTTTTCCTGTTTCATAGAGCATAAAATATATTAGACATAACCATTCCCAACTACTTCATATCTACCTTGTAGACTTAATCCTTTTCAGCCACGAATCCCCCTTTCCTCAAACTGATGCTATTATTGGTATCCCTAATCTCATTCCTTCCTGTCTTTAACTAGAATGATATGCCATTCTGTTGAATTGTCAGTCTTTGGTTTTTCTTTCCTCTTATTTCTTTTCCTCAACCTCTAAAAATCTTTAGCTCTTCTTTATCCAAAAGCAACAATTACCAAGGCCAAACACCTTTTCTTAACTTTATCTTTTCTCTCAAGCTTTCTTCTGTTGAGCTCCTTTCTGTGATTTCCATACTTCTTTAACGAGTAATTAATGTTCCTTTCTAAATTCCCTACTTTCAATTTTTTTCTATAACTTAAAAGATCCTGGACTCTATACCAAAATGAATTTTTATACAACTAGATTTTACCACTCAATCCTTGAAACTCACTCCTCCCTTCGCTTCTTGTTATTACCACTTCTCCTTTTGCTCTGTATTATTCTTTTCTTGCTCTGAATTCCTTAAATGTTAAGGCTTCTCAATCTGCATCCCTTCTGAGCTTTTCTCATTCTATATGCCCTCTCATTTTCATTCAACCAATTTCCCTGGCTTCATTCATATGTTTAGCCCTCATATTTCTCCAGTGTTGTAGACCTATAATTTCTAATTATTTATTAGTTTGTAGACCCATATTTCTAATAAGTTTTAGTTACATTCACCTAACATCCCATAGATATCCCAGTGTCAGTATACCTAAAAGCAAATTGTGTCTGTCTCCTTTTGCTTATTTCTTATTTATCAAATTTGTTCTACCTTTGTATTTTCTAATCCTATTATTGCTGCTATTTAGATCTTCATCATTGCTTTCTTGGGTTATCAGAGTAGGTTCCTGGTTTATATGCTCACTATTAATCTGTTCTGCTTGCAAGTTAACAAGCTAGCAGTAGCTTAAACAAATATCTATTTAAAGCCTGGAATTAGGCAATTATAGAATTGGCACAATAGCTCATTAGTAAGCATCCTATCTTCCTTCTCACTATTTACCATAATACTAATATATGTTCTATTGTATTCATGACAACCACTTGCTTGATGAACATGACTTGTAACTTATTCCTCTGTATTTTCTGCCTTTGTGAATGTTTCCTCTTAGAATGCTCTTCTGTTTCATCTTGCTCCACATTCTAACTCTGTCCCCATCCTCCAAATCCAATTCCAGTGTCCTCTTTCTTAATTCTCCAAGGTAGGATTTCAATGTTCTTTTTCTGCATTCCCTTGTACTTGGTATTTATAAATAAAATAGCTCACCACATTTATTATAATTAGTATTTTCTCATGGACAAGGATTCTTGTGTGTGTGGCTGAATTATTCTTCTGTGCCCATGAAATGCCTAATACATAGAACTCTCATGTGCTGCCATGCTGTTTGTTTCTGGTTACAGGATAACAATAATTATAATTTAGTAAAGAGCTTATACTCTACCAGGAAAGAAAGAAACATACAAATAACCATGTTATATAAGATATCTGCCCTAATATGTACAACCAAAGAGCTATAGATGCTCAGAGATGGAATGTAGTTCTGTGATAATATAAAGGAGGTAGTGGTGCGAAAAGCTTAAAGCTTCTCAAATTAAAGATTCAATTCATTTGCTAGTTTTTCATAAGTAAGTGCTTCAGGATTTAGGACCAGTATGTGAAATGACTATTTTAATCTGAGGTCTGTTTCTATTCAAAAGTACCTATATTTCATCAAATATAAAACACATCATAGACCTTTAAAAAGAAAAAAAAAACTTGCCAGTTGATCATAATGCTATCCCAATTTCAAATATGTTAAAATGTGAAAGAATTAGCATTATAAATTTGGCGAACTATAGTAGGTAATTGATAAACAGGCCAAAGCCAAGTATAAATGCTTGTGAAATTACTTTTCATTTGGATTATCAGCACTGCTTGTATCCATTAGTATATTAGTTTGGATAAGGGAGAGATAATTATATCTGCAAAATCTATTTCAAAGTAAAAGATCTGCTCAAACAAGAATATTATCATTTGTTGTATTTTACAACATTCAGTGTCAAACTGCTGTTCGACTCAGGTGACATTCAGATGTTGGAGCCTATGTTGGAATGAGTTGTTATGAGGCCTCTTTCATTCTTCCTCTGCCATGTCCATGAGTTCTTCCCTGTTAAACCTGAACAAATGCCACCCCTCCTCAGAGGAAAGGTCTAAAGCCCCTCGACTTGTGTAGTACTCAATAGAAGCTTGGTTCCAAATGACAACAAGAAAGTGCATGCAGTTACATTGACTCATGATGGCTATCTGTTTAAAAACAATAAACAAAGATTACTTTTATTTAAAATATAGTCTTAATTAACACAATTGTTTCATTGAAGTTCTATATGAAAGACATTATATGTGCATAATATTTGGAAATAAGAATACAGTCATTATCTTTTGTATTTCTCTATAGCTATAAAAAGAAAAAGAAGTTCCACTTTTCTAAGTATTAAGACCCCTGTCTTTAAAAGCCCAAATTTGATTGCAAAGTCTTTATTCTACAGATAAAGTTACCTAACAGCACACATGTTCTCATATATATATTTCTAAAATGAAAAAGGTTATTTGTTTTATATTGTTGTCATTCACATTGCAGACCTATTTTGTGAATAAAGTTGCCATCTAATCTCCATCTTGATTACAAAAAAAAAGGTATATAGTATGTTTGTGGATTACACAGAAATCAATTTTAATTAAATATAACTCATGTAACTTATGAGTATTTGATTTGAAAATCCAGTTTAATTTAGATAAAAATGTGAAGCACATTAGGTTTATGTTTAAGTAGTGAAATTAAATTTCCTAATTTATGCCCTGTTGAGTAATATTTGAAGAAGAAAAGGATAATGTATAGAACATCAGTACAAATTATAATACATACCTGACTTAGCCTCTTTAGCATTTGAGCTCCAATACCTAGGCCTGTTAAATAGATAATGCCAAAGAAAACCATAAGATGAAAAATTCCACTTACCTTGTTATTTGCTTTAGTTTAAAAAGAATAAAATATAAAACCCTGTATCAGGTTGTTATATATTCTTAAGAGTGTATGTTAAAACTCAACTCATAAACACATATGTCCTTTTTTCCTAAATGGAATGTAGTACCAAAGACAATAGAAAATAGTTTGGGTTTATTTTAAAGATCAATGAAGAAGGAAACAAGTCTCTGTCACTATTGTCTTATAATAGGACTCTGCCACTATTGTTTTATAACATGCCATTTTTCTAATCTATGAATACTAAAAACCAACCTAAAATTTAAAGCATTTTTAAAAATAAAAGCATAGCTATGATAGCATGGCTTATTAAAACATTAATACACACTAATAAAATGGTTTTCTAATTTGTGATTGAATCTTAACTGCACTAGCATAGTGATCAGGCTCGTGAAATAGAAATGAGTTGCATAGCAAAGCCAGCATATTTATACTAAATCCTGTCTCTGTTCCACAAATTAATATATGCCTTTTTAGTTTCTAAATTATTTTTAAGTAACATAATCCTAATTTTACCTCGGTATTCTTGGATGACATAAAAATCCTCTAGGTAAAGTAACTTGCCAATCCAGGGGTCGTACGTGAAGTAGTACATGGCAAATCCAATGGCCATTTTTCCTAAGAAGAGAGAAGAGGGGTCACTAACAGGTTAATGCTTTGAATTTTAGACTCATAGTGGGGTAGGTGGGGAGCATGGGAAGAATAGATGAACTCTAGATAGGGCAGAGGGGAGGGAGGGTAAGGGAGGGAACAGGGGATTAGCAAGGATGGTGGAATGTGATGGACATCATTATCCAAAGTACATGTATGAAGACATGAATTGGTGTGAATATACTTTATATACAACCAAAGATATGAAAAATTGTGCTGCATGCATGTAATTAGAATTGTAATGCATTCTGCTGTCATTTATTTTTTTAAAAAAATCAATAAAAAAGAAATATCTTTTCCCCAAAATAGAATATTTTGGTGCTTGTTTTAACAATTAAAGTAATAGATGCTCATGTGATAAAATATCAAACAGTATATAAATGTATAATACAGAAAGTTTAATTTACCTACAATAACAATCTTTAAGAGATAAGCACTCTTTTATATAGTTTGCATGTTCTTCCAAAATTTTAAATAGCTATGCAAACATGTACATAGCATATGTTTTCTTTTTTAAAACATAAAATAGGTTTATACATATGTACTTATTAATGGTGTAGTAGTATGTGCTATGTAATTGTACTTTGTTTTCAGAACATAGAAATATGCTTCAGGTAAAATTAGAAAAGGAAGATTTACTTTACCTGATGGTTTTTGATGATTTTTTACTTCAGCAATCAGACAGTAGAAAAGGGGATTCTCCCCAAAGCCATCTCTCAGTAAATCTGAAATATCAATTTACATACAAAGAAAGGTTATAGCTGAGGGGGGGAGTAAAAAGCTCCAGGAATTTGACTTTTCATCGGGATGGAAATTATGATGTGAATATTTTGGAGCTCTGGAGATTATTTGAACACTTTCAGCTGCTAAGAGACAGCCTGAATGGTAAACTGCAGTTAATTTAGGGGGAATTCAGCCTTCAGTGTGGTGGCAGCTGCCTGGCCTTCACTACTCCTGTCCCATCCCATGGCAGGCAGCTGTGGGGCGGGCAACCTGTATTTATGGAGCAGATTGCTGTAGGGTGGGTGGCCAGTGTTTTCATTTAAAAAATGTAGATGTTTTATGTTCTTTTGTTAAAAAAAGAAGCATTTCATTCTATTTTTTTTAATTTTTAGTTGTTGATGGACATTTATTATATTTTATTTATAAGTGTGAGAATCGAACGCATTGCCTCACACATGCCAGGAAAGTGCCTCACCACTAAGCTACAACCCCAGCCCTGATGTTTTGTGTTCTAACTCTGGGCTGCCACTCTGACCACTTAGGTGAGGACTTAAGGTTGGTTGCCATTGTTCTATCCCCCATGATCTGAAGTGGTTTACAGGAAATTTAAAAGAGTAATACCTGTTTTGTTGGACATTGAAAACAAAACACAAAGGGGAATTTAGAAAGCCATCTTGAGTGACTAAGGAAAGATGTGCTCTAACAAAACCTAAGATCATAATAAATTTTCAACTCAGGCTGATCCCTGACAGGGACAGCCTACAGCAATCAAGAAACAAGCAAATCCTAAGAATCAAAGTGCTTCACTAAAAATATCAATTAAATACAAGGGAAATGAGAAATAAGAAATAGCTATATAACTTATGGCATGTAAAAAATTGACAGAAGACAATCTTATCAGTTGTCTTTTCTTAATTTTTGCAGTGTTAGGGATCAAGCCTGGGCCTCACTCATGCTAAGCAAGCACCATACCACTGAGTTGTACTCCATGCCCTCAGTAATTACTTAAAATGTAAAAGGATAAAATACTCCAATCAAAACACAAAGATTAGCAAAATGAATAAAATTTTTAAAAGACATGATCCAACTATATGTTAGTTATCTACAAGTAACACATATTAGATTCAAAGATAAAAATAGGTTGAAAATGCAAGTCTCAAACCACGAATAGAATGAGATAGGTTATGTTAGTGGGCACATGAAATGAATAAAGCCATAATAAGTTATGTTAACTTTGATATATTATATAGACATTTTATTCCCAAGTACTTTCCCATTCTGTCTTTGTCAAATGTGTACAGATAGAATTGTAAACGTATTTTCATTTCTAGGCTTTCCAGGTTTTAAAATAAACTCACCAGAAATTACATATTAAAGCAAAAAAATAGGTTGAAAATGGAATAATGGAAAAAGATAATTTTGTGTAAATAACCAAAAGAGCTGAGGTGGCTATATTAACATCAGGCAAAATAGAGTTTAAGTCCAAAATTATTTTCAGAGGCCAGGCATGGTGGCACACACCTGTAATCCCAGCAAGTTAGAGGGATGAGGCAGGAAAATCCCAAGTTCATAGCCAGCCCCAGCAACTTAAAAGACCCTGACTCAAAATATTTAAAAGAAAATGAAAAGGGCTGGGGATGTAGCCAGTGGTTGAGGACCCCAGGTTCAGTCCCCAGCACCAAAACCAAAACAAAAAATATCTGTTCTAAGAGGCAAGAATAAAGGGGTCAATTCACCAAGTATACATAGCAATTATAAACATGCAGCAAATATTACAGCTTCAAAATATATGAAGAAAACATTGACAGAACTGAAGGAGGATATATACAGTAATATAAAAGTTGGGGGCTTCAATACCCCATTTTCAATAATGTATAAAATAAGTTGAATAAGGCAATAGATGACATGAAAAACACCATAAACCTATTGAAATTAGCAGACATAAAGAATGCTCTACCTATAAACAGCATCATTATCATTTTTTTCAAGTGTAGATGGAACTTCTCCAGGGTATGCCATATATTAGAATATAAACCAAGTGTTGATACATTTTTAAAAAAAAATTGAAATCATACACAGTATCTTTTCCAATTACAGTGTACTGAATCTAGAAAAAATAGAAATTTCCAAATATGTGAAAATTAAACCACTCTTGTAAACAATCAAATCACAAAGGAAATAAGAGGACACAGAGAAATAAATGAAAATGAAAACAGAACAAATTAGAATGCAGTGAAAGCAGTGCTCACAGGGAAACATCTTTATATGACATTATAAAAACAAATAAGATCTCAATAATCTAATATTATGCCTCAAGGAACTAGATAAAGAGGAGCAAACACCAAAGCTTGCAGAATAAAGGTAATAAAAATTAGCAGAAATAAATAAAACAGAAACAATGGAGGAAATTGATGAAATAAAAAATTGGTCACTGGAAAATATCAATAAAATTGACAACTAGATTTAAAAAGAAGAAAATGAGGTTACAAATATTAAAATAAGGAATGAAAAAGAGGAAATTTCCACATTAAATTGGGGGTATACCCTTGCTGTATATGTTACCTGTCCACTGGTCACTTAGCAGATGTCTTGGTAGTAAGATCAGTTTCTTTGGTAATGCAGTGCTTATGTTCACATAACCCTTTGTTTTACTAAATAATGGCTACAAAACACAACAGAAATGATGCTGAGAATGTATTGTCACATTGTAATGATTATTCTACCTTATTATTGTTAATCTTTTACTATGCCTAATTTATAAACTAAACTTCATCATACATGTGTAAAAGGGAATAACAGTATATCTAGGATTTTGTATTATCTATTGTTTCCAGCATCATATTGAGGGTCTTGAAACATATTGACTGTGGATAAGGTGGAGACTACACTGAAAACTATAATTTTTAGTGAAAGAAATTAAAGAAGACCTAATTGAAGGAAGCTCATATTTATAGATAGAGTACTTAACATTGTTAGGTCAATATTAGTTAAAGTGATTTATGTATTCAACACAGTCTCTCAAAATTGCAAAATTCTTTTGCATAGAGGGCCCCAAATAGCCAAAACAACTTTTAAAACTAAAGCACATTGGAAGATTCACCATTCCTGACTTTAAAAATTTCTAAAAAGTTATAGTACTTACAAAAGGACAGATAGGCAAATGTAACAGATTATACAGCCCCCAAATAAACACATAATCTGGTCAATTGATTTCTTTTTATTTTTTTTTAGTTGTAGGCATACACAATCCCATTTGTTTATTTGTTTGTTTATTTATTCTTATGTGGTGCTGAGGATTGAACCCCGTGCCTCACACGTGCTAGGCAAGCACTCTACCACTGAACCACACTGCCAGCACTGGTCAATTGATTTCTGAGAAGATGCCAAGATCATTCATTAAGGGAAGGACTGTCTTCAACAAATGGTGCTGGGGAAGCTGCATATTTACATGCAAAATAGCAAAGTTGAACAGTTACTTCATGCCATGTACAAAATTTCATTTGAAATGTATCAAAACCTCAATGTAAGTGCTAAAACTATAAAAATTTTGGAATAATTTGCATATATTTTAAACTACAGTTTACTAAATCAAGGAAGATCATCAAGACATTGAATCTAGCAATGATTTCTTAGCTATGATACCAAAAGCACAAGGCAACAACAACAAAATAGACAATTTGGCCATCATAAAATTAAAAAATTGTGTATGATAGGATAATATCAAAGGAGGTAAAAATCACAAAATGGAAGAAAATATTTGGAAATATTATAAAGAGGAATATTAAGAATTCATGCAGCACAATTCAAAAATGGGTAAAAGACATGAATAGACATTTCTCAAAGAAGATATCAAGGGAACAATGAGCACATGCCAAGATGCTTGCTCTCATAAAAGAGCACACACAAACCAAAAGCACAATGAGATATCACTTTGTACCCATTAGAATGATCATTATCCCAAAACAAAACAAAAACCAGAAAAAAATAAATTGTTGGTGAGTATGTGGAGAATTTGAAACCCTGAGTGTTGCTGATGGGAATATAAAATGGTGCAGCTACTGTGGAAAACATTTTGAAGGTCCCTCAAAAAAAAAAAAAAAAAAGAATTACCACATGATCCAGAAATGCTACTTCTAGCTATGTATATTCCCAAATAAATTGGCAGCAGGAGCCCAGATAGTACTTGCAAAAGGACAGAGAGACAAAGAGAACAGACTATGAAGCCCCAAAATAAACACATATCTGGTCAATTGATTGAAACATTGTGCATTAATGTTTCATGGCAACATTATTCACAATAGTCAAAAGGTGGAAACAACCCAAATGATAACAAAATGTGGTTTATACAGACAATGGAGTGTTATTCAGTCTTAAAATGGAATGAAATTCTTATACAGACTACAACTTGATGAAAATTGAAAACATTATGCTAAGTGAAATAATCCTGACATATAAAGACAAATGTTATATGCTTCCAGTTGTATGGGAGCACCTAGATGAGGCAAACTAATAGAGACAAAAATAGATTAGAAGCTACAAGAGGTTAGAGGGGAAGGATAACAGCAATAGAAAGTTTTCATGGTTAAAGATTTTCAGTTTGACAAATGCTGGAGATGAATAGCCATAATGGTTGTGCAACATTATGAATTATTTAATATCAGGAATTGTACACCTAGGAATGGTAAAAAGATAATTTGCATATATTTAACTAAATTTTACAAAATTTTATAGTAGAGGTAAAAATAGAGAAAATATCAAGTATTTTACCAGCAACTACAAAAATACACAAGGACTAAGATTAAAAAAAAAAGGACTGAGGATATTATAAAATAACTGCCATTCAAAGGAATACTGAATCCTAAGACTGGAAGATGTAGTATATGAAGTATTTTATTATTGCTCTTTTGTTTAAGATTAACTTTTATAACTAGTTGTGGTGGCACATACTTGTGATCCCAGTGGCTAGGAAGGCTGAGACAGGAGAATAGCAAATTCAAAGCCAGCTTCAGCGATTTAATGAAGCCCCAAACAACTAATGAGACACTGTCTCAAAAAGGGGGGGAAGGTTGGGGATATGGGTTAGTTGTTAAGCACCCCTAGATTCAATTCCTAGTACTCCCCCACAAAATTGATGAACTGTTATACATTACCCTGACCAAGTAGTATTTTCCCAAACCACAATGAAATAGTGTTATATCTAAACATAGTAGTACTGTTTTAGTTTGACCACTGCTTTCATAAGTGTCCATTACTTTCAACTTTGTGTTTCTTAGTGTTTCCTTTAAACCAACAAAATTACTCTTTAGTTAACATTCTAATGATGTTTATTAGCAAGTGTAAAAACAGAAGAATTATCACATGAGATGACATCCATGATCTATGCAGCTCAGGGTTCTATTTTTCACCAAATCTCCTAAGGTTGGTTAGTTAAGGCATGGCACAAAAGCTCCCACAAGCCATTCTAACATCCTTCTGAATTCAAATATCCTTTTGAATCTGTCACACAGTATTACGGTGAAACCTATTATCTCCTTGGTATAATGTTCTCAATGTATTACATGTATTCTCAAGTATTTATCTTCAGGGAGTTATCCTTCATTATGCTCTTTTATGGTTTAGTAAATAACACTTTAGTCTTTTCCATTTGTAATTTATATACTTTAATCATCTTTTAATCTTCCTGTTTATTATCTTAAAGTTATAATTCATAATAAATCACTAACTTATCCCATTAGTATTGCGTGCTATCAAATGTGTTAAATCCTTTGAAAATATTTTAAATCATTTTGCTTTTGTCCATTTCATTGCATCAAGCTCCTTCCAACATACTGAGTTTTAAATTATATTCTTTTTTTGACCAATATTTCTTCTTGTTCTGTGTTTTGAAAACCAGTTGAAGTCTATTGCACCTGTACAGGTGTTAGTGCTGTTAAATATCAGTCTTATGCTAAAAATGGTGCATTGGTAAAACTATTAAATTTATGTCATGTGCATGGATAGTTTACTAATGGCATCATTTTATGTACCAATGACAGCAACTTCCATAGTCCTGTGTGCATTCATTCATGTTTACTTTTCTTGCTCTAAAAATACCACAAAACATCTTACCCATTGCTGTTAACTTCACTGCATCTAACATATTTTCACAGGCAGCCAATTCCTGTCAAAGTAGAGAAAACCTTCAGTTTATGATTCAGTAATGAATTCTCAATGTGATAATCATCATGGAGTTTGTATTGAACATTTATGGACACGATGTCCTGGGAAGTTTTAAAAGTGATTCAAACTTAAATCCAGTTGTCTAGAAACTAAAAATCTAAAACATCAATGCAACATAATAATAAAGACATAGATAGACTAGATAGATGATAGATTGATATAGATATAATAGAGTCAATGCCTCACACATAAAGGTCACAATTTTGTGACACAAAGGTCACAAAATTAGCTTGTAGACTTTACAGAAAAGTTGATCATGTGTTTGCCTATGAGGTGTTTTGCCAGATTAACTTTAGACTTTTTTTTTTTTTGGTACGATGGACTGAATCTAGGGGTGCTTAACCACTAAGCCACATCCTTAGTCCTTTATATTTATTTTTTATCTTGAACAGGGTCTCATTGATTTCCTTAATGCCTTGTTAATTTGCTGAGGGTAGCCAAAAACTTACAATTCTCCTGCCTCAGCCTCCTGGGATTACAGCCATGTGCTACATGCCCAGCAACTTTAGATGTTTTAATGTGGCTATTTGCTATTATCATTTTTGCATATTCAAATTCTTTTCTTCATGATTTGTATCTCATGCTTGGGAAGTTATAAAAATAGATACTCTTGTTTTCTTTATTATTATTATTATTATTTATTAACTATATCATTATTATTATTTATTATTCATTATATAGAATGATGGGTTTCATTCAGGTATATTGATACATGTATACAACATTATTTAGTAAATTTCACTTCATAGTAATTCCCCTTCCTTCCTCTCTCCGCCTGATCCTCTTTCTCTATGCTAAAGGTGTTCCTTCCACTTTCATGATGTCCCTTTATTTTCTTTTGTTTTTCCCACACACACTCCGTGTGTGTGTGTGTGTGTGTGAGTTTGTGTGTATCTCACATTTTTTATTCATTTTTCTGTTGATGGACACCAAGTCTGTTTCCATAACTTGACTATTGTGAATTATGCTATATTAACATGGTTATGCATGTTTCTATAGAGTATGCTGACTTCCTTTTGGAAAAACACAAAGGAATACTATAGCTCAAGAAACTAAAATCTACCATGTGGATATTTTTAGGCTGAATAAATGAGGTAGAATATCACCTTTATCTTTTTCCCCCACTTGTCCTAATGCCATTCATTGAATAACCATCTTTTATTCACTTACTTGAAATCTCCCTTTTATCATATACCATATTATCATATATAATAAAGAGGACTTCTCTATTAGGTTCCACTGATCCAACTATGCACCAATGATCATAGTATTTTAATTACTTACAGCTTTATAATATCTGGTAGGGATCATATACCCTCATTACTCTTCACTTTGGGGTTTCTTTTCATGTGTAAACTTGAGGATGTTGACTGAATTGCGTGGAATTTATAATGGAAAAGGGCTTTAAAATATGTAAGTAGGATGTTTATATACTTACATACTTAAGTAGGATAGCAAAGGTGTTATGGCTTAGATATTAGGTATTCTCGAAAAATTCATATGTGAAACAATGCAAAAAAGTTCAGAGGTGAAATGATTGAGCTATGACAACCTTAACCTAATCAGTGCATTAGTCCACTTGAATGGATTAACTGGGGAGCTGGGGGTGCAGCTCAGTTTGTAGAGTGCTTGCCTTGAATGTACAAGAACCTAGGTTCAATCCCCAGTACCACAAAAAAAAAAAAGAATGGATTTACTGGGTAACTATATGCAGGTAGGGTGTGTGGCTGATGGAGGTGGGTCTCTGAGGGCATGACTTTTAGGTATATATTTTTCCCAGGAGAGCATTCTCCTTCTCTCTTTGCTTCCTGGTGTGTTATCCTGAGATGGCTTTCCTCAGTGTAATCCTTCCTTCAGCCAGATGTTTTTGCACACCTGTGGCCTACAGTAATAGAGCTGGCCATTTATGGACTTAGACCTATGAAACCATGAGTTCTAAATAAACTTTTCCTCCTCTAAAATTGTTCTTGTCAGGTCTTATGGTCACAGCTGTGAAAAAAGCTGACTGAAACAAGAGGCCAGATTATGTAGAGCCTTAGTAAGAAGTTTGGATTTTTGTACTCAATAGAAGCAGAAGCCAAATTGGGTTTTGAACATTTTGGCTTCTATCTGGAGAATGGACTTGGCAGAGAGTTCAATAATTATTTGCATCCATCCCTCCCATATTACCCTTTAAATTCCTTTAGGGCAGAGACAGTAATTCAATAATCTCTATATCTTTTAAAGCACTTAGTACATGATCTTCAATATTTATATTATAAACAAAATGAAATATTGATACTACTCAGAAGTCATCTATGTATCACCAATGGACCAAAACCACACTTTGAAAACCACTACAATAAAAGATTCTAGATGGAAAGTCTGGTAAGCAAGAAGTTATGTCTGTCTGTTGATGACATGACTAGATCCCTAGATAATGTTGTGATGTGGTTAAGATTAAAATGGTTGCATACAGAAGATATTTTGAGGAATTTTTGTGGCAGTACAATAAATAAAACCTACAATACATTCAGCAAAGAAATTACTATGATGGCAAACTCTAAACTCCTTTGCAAGAAGAGAATGTTTTGCATATTTAACAATGAGCAGGAGTTAAGGGAAAAAAACATATATAAAGAACATAAAGCTCAAAAGTAATTACTATACATATTTCTGTGATGCATAAAAAATATTTAGTTTTTCTATTTTTCTACAGTGAACTACACATTAAATAACTCCCAATAAACTTCTGGTGTATTTTCAGAAAATGAGGCAAATTAAAATATAAACATAGTAAGGAACTTCACAGATACAGGTTCATTTCAGTGGGGAGTCTAGCGGTGTGTTTTCATCCAGCAATGGCAATGAAAAATTGTTGGGAAACTAAGAAATGCATTTTTTCCAAGTAGAGAGCTTCACTGTCATTCAATAATAAATTTATTAATTGCCAAACAGATGTCAGATTCAGTAGCCACAAACTATTTTCTACTATGTGGAAAAATGTGGATCCTACCTGGAATAACTAACCCGTTGGGCATAGTATTTTGATTCCATGAAGACTAATGCCATTTAAGAGAAATGATGTCAAAACTTATGAGGATTAAAATATATAATGAAAACCTTGGAAAATTACATAAATAAGTTCTTACTAACCTATGACAGGGCCTAACATCACTCCAACAAATGGATTTCACTACAAAACTGTGGATATTTATTTTGGTCATTAGGAAATATGGTAGACACACAAAAATCATCTATAAAAAATGGAATTATATTTGTAGATAAATTGATGGAATTAGAGGCTCATTATGTTAAGCAAAATAGGCCAGACACAAAAAGACAAGTGTCACATTTCTTCTCAACTTCTCATGTGTAGAAACTACAAAAAAGGACCTGAAAGTAGTTAGGTAGTAGGGAAAGGAAAGAGGACAAGGAATGAGGGGAGAAAAGGAAGCACAAGAAAGAGTAGTGTGTAATAGAAGGGGTGGATACAATCAAAGCAAAATATGCATGCATGAAAATGCCACAGTCAAACCCATTAATTTGTACAATTTTGTGAATAATAAGTGAAAAGAAATATAAACATTACTCTCTAATCAGAGGGAATATAAACGTGGCTACTGCTTTTTATATATCTTTATATAGAATTGTTTTGGTTGTTCATCACATAAACTATTGCCTTCAGTGCTGCAGAACTTCAGCACAAAACTATGGCTATTAGATTGCTCCCTTTACTACACTGGAATAATTTAAAGGAAAGCCATTTAAATAAACGTTTACATAAGAAATTTTCAAATCAACTCCTTGATTCTGGGAGTGTGTGTTGATGGACTTCTGGTATCAACTGTCTCAAATTGTATGGAAAATCTGTTGGGTGAGAATATTGTTTTTTTAGGAACTCAATCATCAAATACTACAATCAGGTATAATCTTAGAAGAAACAAAATTACCTACACCAAAAGCTTAGTCATTAATATCTGAAATCCTGTCATTTATTTCTTTATGCATTTTCTCTTCTCTGAAATTTAATGTTAAAATTTCCCCCAGGAGAGGCAACATGTTCAGTCTCTAAATTAACAATGACTCTGAGCCCCTTACTATATGACAATTAATTTACATGTAATTATATTCTTATTGAATCATTGCAACAATCTTTTTTGATAGAAAATTATTATATAATATTGACTTTATATGTGGAAAAATTAAGAGTAGAGAGATTTAGTGACTTCCAGAATGTTGTACATGTATCATAATTAGCCATGCCAGGACTCAAACCCCGACTATGCCTTCCTTGCTCTCTTGCAGCCCTACACTAATGCAATGAAGATCCAAGGAATTAGGAGAGACAGGCTTACTTTAATCAGCCGCAGAATTTCTGGGCAGTCTCGAGCCTCTGCAGGTCTTATTCGGAAAGAATTCATGCTTGATTTCCTTGTGGGTGATTTAGCCTTTTCGAATTTGCTCATACCTGACTGGATCCTGCCTGATTGATTCCTGACTAATTGGACTGGCCCTGGTTGACTGGAAATTTGTTGGCTCCTGCCTGGTTGGCTTATGCCTGAAAAGCTCATGCCTGGTTGGCTCATATCTGGTTGGCTTATTCCTGATTGGCTGGTGCCTGGTTGGCTTTTGTATGGTTGCCATGTGCCTGTTTGGTTCATGACTGGTTGGCTTGGGAATTGTTGGCTTATATCTGGTTGCCACGTGCTTCGTTGGTCCTGGAATAGTTGCCTGGTGTCTGCTTGCTTCATGCCTGGTTGCCACATGCCTGATTGATTTTTGTCCAGTAGATTCATACCTGGTTGGTTCATGCCTGGTTGCCACACGCCTGCTTGTTTCAGGCCTGGTTGGATTGTGTCCAGTAGATTCATTCCTGGTTGATTTGGGCCTGTTTGCCTCCTACCTGGTTGGCTCATGCTTGGTTGAAAGATGCCTGGTTGGACTGTATCCAGTAGGTTGATTCCTGGTTGATTTGGGCCTGTTTGCCTCCTACCTGGTTGACTCAAGCTTGGATGAAAGATGGCTGGTTGTTTCATGCCTGATTGGTTTATGTCCAATAGATTCATGCCTGGTTGGCTTGGGTCTGGTTCTCTCACACCTGGTTGGCTTATGCTTCGTTGCAACAGGCTTAGTGGTCTTAGGGCTGGGTCTCTCATACCTTGTTGGCTCATGCTTGATTGCAACATGCCTGGTTGGTTTGTGTCCAGTAGATTCATGCCTGGTTGACTTGGGCCTGGTTCTCTCACACCTGGTTGGCTTATGTTTCTTTGCAATATGCCTAGTTGTCTTGGGACTGGTTCTCTCATACCTGGTTGACTCATGCTTGATTGTAACATGGCTGGTTGTCTCATGCCTGGTTGGTTTTTGTCCAGTAGATTCATGCCTGGTTGGCTTAGGCCTGATTCTCTCATACCTGGTTGACTCATGCTTCGTTGCATCATGCCTGGTTGGTTTGTGTCAAATAGATTCATGCCTGGTTGGCTTGGGCCTGGTTCTCTAATACATGGTTGGCATGTGCTTGGTTGCCACATTCCTGGTTGTTTCATGCTTGGTTGGTTTATATCCAGTAGATTCATGCCTAGTTGTCTTGGGCCTGGTTGCCTCATACATGTTGGGCTCATGCTTGGTTGCCACATGTCTGGTTGATTTGTGTTTAGTAAATTCATGTGTGATAACTTCACGCCTGGTTGGCTGAAACTTGATTTTTTCCCGCCTGGTTGGTTCACATCATGTAGGCTTGTTTTTGGTTGGTTCCCAACTAATTGGTTCATGTTAAGTAAGCTTGTGCCTAGCTGGCTTATTCCTGTTTGGTTCATGTTTGATAAGCTTGATTGTTTCATACCTGATTGATTTGTGCACAGTTGATTGTTGCCTGGTTGGCTGAAGATGAGTTGGCCAAAGGCTGGTTGATGTTTGACTGTTTGGCAGATGACTAGCTGGCAATAATTATCCTGATGGAACAGGATCTCTTAAGCACAGTGCTACAGTGAGAGGCTGTGAGCTTCTTCTAGTTTTTCTTCACTTGCCTTATGCTTCAAGATACGCCTCTTAGAAATTAGAGAGAGTTACCTAAGGAAGGTTATTGATGCCTCAGATTTATTGGAGATGTATTCACCAGTGATCACAGCTACAAGCTTGGCTGGGTTTAAGCTTGGCATTTGGCATTTCCCTACCAGCCAGCTGGAAGGGGAAGAAGAAAATGAACCTAGAGAATGTTACCACCTTACCCACCTATATAGTCACTTTATCAAAATGATGTCATAATGATTACATCACAATGCCCATATCTACACACCTACAGTGGCCCCACCCACTTATGGTGGGGGCAGGGTGGGAAGAAGGGTGAATCCCACTTGAGTACTACTTTATTTTCTCCTCTAAAATTTTGAGAGGGTGATGGCAGAGGTGAGGACTTTCAGAGTATGTTCCCAGCTATCTCTTCAAGAAGTCTGCTATTCTGAACAACCAATTTAAAGACACTTGTCCCCACCCACCTCACTTTCCCTATGTGTCCAAGTCCTTATAGAATATCCTATTTCTGTTATGATTTTCACATATAGTAGAAACTAGAATGCTTAAAGGAGTTGTCCCAATGAGATGCTCAAGACCTGAATGCAAAAAAAAAAAAACATATTTCTTTAAAAATAACATAGCTACCGCTACTATTTATTATTTTATGACCTGGACTCAGTGTGCACCACTTGCATATTCTAATTTAATCTTATAACAATGCTATTAATCCCCACTCTGAGGAAACTGTCTCAAGAGACTTAGCAAACTTTCGAAGGCCTCATGATAGTAGTCAGGATAAATTTAGATTCAAGTCTATTTGACTCCCTGTCCAGGATTTTTGCCAGATACACCATCCTTCCTCTTACACTGTACTCATTCTCCTCCCCATATCTCTGACATCACATATAGTGTCATTTTACCTCTCATCCTCCTCAGGCCCAGTATTCCTTCCATCATTTTATCTGCTGACTTATTTCTTAATAATGTATTTTATGAAACTAGTCTTAATACTGTTTTAGTTGACTTTTTATTCATACATACCATGGGACTCAGTTGAGCCTATCCTAAGTCTCACACTGTGCTAAGTTATTTATATATGCATTCTTTCAGTTACTCATGACAGTAACTGTGTGATATATACATATTTCCTTCCATTTTATTAAACAAACCAGAACTTTAAAATATTTATGGATTTTTGCAAGTATAGTAAATGTCAGAATCGGAGTAGGATCCAATGCCATCCTATAGATGGAAGATTTAAATTAAAACCAGAAAGCCCAATCACCATTAGGCCCATGCTGTCTATAAATTGTACCTAGAAAGTCCATCTTCTTAACATGACAGGTAAACCAAATCATATCACAGAATTATTCCAAGCCTAATACAAATTAGATGTAGGTATGTTAGTGACTTTGTTCCACATATTTGTAATAAAAAATGAGATCTAAATTTAATTGTGCTTCCTGTGGTGTCAGACAAAATTCTAAGGAACACTTTACTTGTATTTACTCACTTAATCCTCCCAACAATCTAACAGGTAGGCAATATTATTATCTCCATTTTGCATGTAAAGAAACTAAGATTCAGAGATATTAAGTAGCTTGACAAAGATATCAAAACTTAAAATCCAGAAAAAATAAGGAAAACACAGTTTTTTTTGTTTTGTTTTGTTTTTTACTGAAATGCCAGGAAAGAGACAAAGTGATTTTGCTGTTTGCTTTACAAAATCAAACAATTTGCAGAATTTATTATGGGGATGGATGATGTTGGCTTTTGCTGTATTAGAGGAAGAGGCAATTTTATTTGTTAAATTTCCAGTTGATGCTTTTAAAAAATATAATTAGAAATGTAGTTTAGCAATCTAAGACTGATTAAGGAGTTTCTTTTGCATTTGACTCTTGAAATTTTACATCAGTTTAAGACCACTTACATATTTGTTTTTTGAATTTGGGGTTTTTTCCCTCTTTAAAAAATATTGGGTTTGAATATTGTGAAACTGAACACAATTTAAGGGAATATGTCTAAAAATATATATTATTGCTTAAAGTTTCTTATTAGTGCAACTTATACTATCTTGGAAACTTAGAATAAGACTGCATTCATCAGCATTCAAAAATCCACTGTTATGATAAGCATATGCTAATAAATAATAAACTTCAGTAATCAATCTTTGCCACAAAGTGGCAGTGTTAACCAGTTTAAGAACTAAAACCCTAAATGATAAATAGTGTAAGCTTATGTTTCATGGAAGTATATATATTACTAATATTAGAGGTTTCCTTCACTTACAAATAGTAAGAGCAAATTTCTAAAAAATAAGATTTTAAACTTAACATGTTATTTTATTAAAGATCTAGTTTAGGTAGTGAGTTTTATATGCTAAGACATGACAAATTCTATTTCTAAAAGTTCAAAATGTATATAAAAAATGTATATATTTGTACTTTACTAAATTAGTTTGAATTAATATAACATATAAAACCACAAACATATATCTAAAAATATTGATATTTTTATGCATTTAAACTCTAATAACTACCATCTATATAATCCCCTTTTCTGAAGATGTTATGTAAAATACAGTGGAGTATTCTAAAATCTGACTCCAGCTTGGCTGCATCTAAACAAGTACTTACAATTGAAAAGGCATATGTATAGTTTTTATCTATGACAAGCAGAGTTTGAATTCGTGGAACTCTCCCTCTAACTCAGAGACAATATTTTTCTCCTCTCCTTTTGAAGTTCATGTGCTTTTATCCCACTCCTGTTAAATGCAAACAGGAAAGGAGAAAGGGGAAAAGGTAAGGTTGAGTTTGGAGGGGGACTTAAAGCAAGAAGCCAGATTGGAGCAGAACTGAAAAATGAGATATTTTCTGAAATGAAAACTTAAGGTACTTTGAAGACATTCATCAATCAGCATTGCTTGTTTTTAAAGTAATATTTGTTATATCTTATTTTATTAAGAAATGTGTGCTTATTGTAGAAAATTTGGAAAGTATTTTTGATAAGCAGTTACCTCTGTACTTTGCTCTAATTAGAAAGGAGCATACCTAAGATTTGATTTTTTTTTCATTTCCAGATATCATTATCAAATTTCCAAAGAAAGGAAAATCCGTGTCTTTGCTTTTGCTGTATTTTTGCTTAGCTAAAGGTGCACATCCAGGATAGATGTTTTTGTTCAGAAAAGTTTCCCCAACGGTAACAATTTCTGAGAGGCAAGATGGGTCCAGAGCAGAGGCTGAGTTCCAGGGTGAGAATGAAATTACTTTGCATATTAAAAAAAAGAAGTTGGATTTTTTTTTTCAGACAACAGTCTGCAGAAAGAGTCTAAATAGCTCAGAAATTAGGAAAAGAGGGGTTAAATGGAAGGGATGAGTCCTTGCCTTGAGGACATAACCCAACAAAACTGTGGTAGGCAAGGTGAAATCTGGGCACAAAAGAGCCAGTGAAAGTTTCTCTGTCAGATGTATTCAGTTTTACATTTTTTTTCCTATTTGGACATCTATGGAAATATGCTTACCTTATCACCAATACTTTAATTGAAGTCACTTACCACACACTAACTTTATATTCAGGGTTGTATTTGGGCTGAGATACTGGAAAAGGAAAATAACTGCAGAAGTTGACCTCAGGGATTGGGAAAATTGACTATAAGTTGGGCTGGTTTGTGAACAGGTATATAAGAAAGTAGTTACCCTGGAAAAGAAGGACTGTGTAATGTGTACAGATAGTCTGGATACCTAGAGTTCAAGCTCAAGAGATTTGATCATTATGGGACTCCAGAAGACTGGGCAACATTTGAGTTATGTAAAAAATGCATAAAATAGAAATTAAAATGCTTAGAATCCTAACTGGATTTATATTTCAATGACTATTCCTATGAATTTGTTTGAATAAATAAGATTTTTTTTTTGAGAGAGGGAGAGAGAGAGAGAGAATTTTAATATTTATTTTTTAGTTTTCAGCAGACACAGCATCTTTGTTTGTATGTGGTGCTGATCATCGAACCCAGGCCGCACGCATGCCAGGCGAGAGCGCTACTGCTTGAGCCACATCCCCAGCCCCAAGAATTTTTAAATAAAATCGACATCATAGTAACTATGTTTTTGCTTAATAACATTCTTTTTATAGAAATATGTTAAGGATTTTATTAGTGCTTTATAGCTATACATAATACTGTGGTTCATTTAAAAAAATTATTTGTTCTTTTTAGATATACATGACAGTAGAGTGTATTTTTTAAATTTTTAGTTGTAGCTGAACACAATAACTTTATTTTGTTCATTATTTTTTATGTGATGCTGAAGATCAAACCAAGTGCCTCACATGTGTGAAGCAAGTGCTCTGCCACTAAACCACAACCCCAGCCCAGTAGAGTATATTTTGACATATCATACATTCATGGAGTATAACTTATTCTAATAAGAATCCCATTCTTGTGTTTGTACATGATGTGGAGTTTCACTGGTGGTGTATTCATATAAGACCATAGATAAGTTATGTCTGATTCATTCTACTGTCTTTCCAATTCCACCCCCTCCCTTCCCTTAATTCCCCTTTGTCTAATCCAGTGAACTTCTGTCCCCCCTCCTTATTATAAGTGAGAATCCAAATATCAGAGAGAACATTAAGCCTTTGGGTTTTTGAGTTTGGCTTGTTTCACTTCCCATGATAGTCTCCAGATCCGACCATTTACTGGCAAGTGCCATAATTTTATTTTTCTTTATGGTTGAGTAATATTCCATTGTGTAAAATATACCACATTTTCTTTATCCGTTCATCTGTTGAAGGGCACCTAGGTTGGTTCCATAGCTTAACTATTGTGAATTGAGCTGCTATAAATTGATGTGGCTGCATCACAGTAGTACACTGATTTCAAGTCCTTTGGGTATAAACCAAGGAGTGGGGTAACTGGGTCAAATGTGGTTCCATTCCACAT